GTAGACCGGGTTTGTTTGTTTCCCCAGAGTTCTCCCTCCCTTGCCCCCCTTGGGTAAAAGATTAAAAGGTTTTGCTTCCAAGCAGATTTTTTTTTTTTTTTTGAAGAGACCAGATCTTCCTATGTTCCCCACACTGGCCCTGAACTCCTGGGCTTGGGAACCCTCTTATATCAGCCTCCAGAGCAGCTAGGGGTACCACTATACCTAACCTCATATTTTTAGTAATGGCTCCAGATCAGGGGTCTGAGTCCTAGGTGATTCATTTCCTACTGTGACTGGGCCTCTATTAGTCAGGACTCGTTAGAACAGACAATCTCTAGAGCTGGCTTGAGTGGTAGGTAGGCCTCAGGCATAGCTGTTCTAGCCACATTGTCAAAAGTATGTCTTTTCTATCTTTTGATCTTTTGATCTTTCTCTGAGCTGACTTTGTTCTCAAACAGAATTTACCAGTAGTTTTCTATGTCTCAATAATTCTACACCAAACCCCCAAAAGGATAGTGCTCTCATTGTCCTAGCTGAGGTCCCATGGTGTCCTTCTGCCCTTCTGGCTTAGAGAGTTTCTCTGGTTGGCCAGGCCTAGGTCTCTTGCTCTCTCTAAAGCCAAAGATTGTGAGAGATGAGATGCCTCAAAAGAAAAAAAACAAACAAACAAACAAAAAAAACCAAGGCCAGTGGATCTTAGGAGAGGGAAGAGTGAATGCTGGGGGGCAAATGGTCAGCTGGCTGTGACAAGGTCTTCATCCTCCATCTTGACCCTTGCTTCTGCCACCTCCCAGGGCCTGTAGGACTCAGGAACTCATGGGCAGGTGAGCTCTGCAGGTACAAAGAGCAGGTGGATACAAAGGGTGTCTTAAGCCTGGAGCTTAGTTAAGCCTCAGGACAGCTTTTTTTGCCATTCTGTGACTACACAGAAATTAGAAGCTCAGCAAATAGCACCTAGCATAGAACTAAAATAGCACACACAGACCAGAAAGCAGTTGCCACATATGTGGGAAAGGAATCATAGTTAGCATCTACATATAAAGAGTTGGGCAGCAGCTAAAAAAGACTCAAGCAGCCAGAAAGAAACATAGGCCACAGGGTTAAGGACCCACTGTTCCCAGAGGAGACTAGCAAAAAGATGCTTCAGTTCACTTGAACTTGAAAAAATGAGATTCAAAGTGGTAAGACCCAATCCCATCCTACCTGGCTGGAGATAGTCAAAGTGTGCCACTCATTACAAAGATCAGAACAAGGTAAAGCTAGTGGCCCACATTGGGGAGGAGATGCACCAGACTTTTCACCTCCCAAACAAGGGATTTGTAAACAAGTGATTTTACCCAGGATTCCACTAGTTGCATGCTAGGAGGGTATAGGTGCTGATTTGTACTCCTGTTCTGTTCCCACTGCAGACCCAAAATAATCCAGACACTAAAATACAAGCAGATGTCCCCCATGCTTCTAAGCAAGTGTGGCCTGCTTCTCAGAGGCCTTGGGGTCTGCACTACTGATGAGGGCAATAATACACAGCACTGCTGAGTATTATTCTTCCATGAGAATGTTCTTGCATGCCTCCCCCTCCCCATTCCCATTTGTTCATGGGAAGCATCTGAGCCTCTGAGTATTAAAATCACCTGGCAAGTGGCTGAGAAATGAAGCAGCTTCATTAACTGTTTGCTAGAATTGCCACATGCCAGGCCTGAGGGAGAGCCGAATCACACATATGGCCCCTGCCCTCCAGGAGCTCCCCAGTGGTGCAGAATGTTAGTGCGTACCAAGAACACAGTGCTGTGCCTTGTGGGTCCTGCTTCAGGCTCAACCATGACAGAGGAGTCCCTGGGCCCTGTTTAGCAAGGCCCTGACATGAAGGGGAGAAGGCAGCCACCGAAAGGGCCTTGTATATGCAGAGGCACCAATCTAGCTTCTCATGAAGGCCAAACAGCTCTCTCCATGGGGATGGACTCCCTGTGAGGTTAAGGTGAGCCATTATCCTTCCAAGAGCTGGACGTTCCACAAAGACACAGGAAGCACCTTCCTCACCAAACACCACCATGACTCCTTCCTTTGTCCTCCTCTCTTTGGCCCCAGGCTGTCAGTCTACCTCCACTGGAGTGTGGGCCAATGACGTCCCAGGCTTGCCAACCATACTGCTTCATGGACCCTCATGACATTAGCCTGGTGGGTTTTCTGATGGCCCCAGGCTGCCATCTTGGTTGCTATGGCAACTGCGGGGTCATCTCATGAGCTGGTCAGCTCCATGAGCCAGCCGGCTTCTGGCAGATGGTGTCATTGTGAAGCTTCAAAGCCTCTTGTCATGGCACAGCAGATGTGAAGATGACGCTGGCACTCAAACACACAGCACAAAGACCCCTGGAGCCTGCAAAGGGTGGGTGGGGCTGGAGCAGAGTGGAGACACCTGCCACGGCTTCCCTTCCTCTCCTTTTAAAATCAAACACTTGCGTGCAAAGCTCCAAACTCAAGTGGGTACCGTCTGCAAATAGCCCCTTAGAGGGGCTACTGAAGAGGGTCTTAGGTCAGGATGTCATCATGTGATGGCTTCAGAGGGAGGGGAGCAGCTGTGGCTGGGCTGGAGTGAGGGGCAGGGCTCCAAGCAGCTTTTCCACATACCTAGTACCTGGCTGATCCTGAACCTTCCTCCAGATCTAGTCTGTGGAGAACTTAGTCTACAGCACCCAGTCCCAGGCTGCCTGAGGTTCCTCTCTTGGGGCCCTCACAGCACCTTGATCAGACCCAGTCATATACCAGAAAATTCCTCCACCGAAGGAATGAACATTGCTTTGACAGCATGCAAGTGTAGTGTACCCCACCCCACCTGGCATGCATATCTGGCCCCGCCCCACCACTTGCTGAAACTCCTTTTTTGAGATCCCCTTCAAGTAGGCTGTGGTGACAGATTGGATGACTTCAGAGGTATCAGATCTCTTGCTTTGCATGGTTTACTTTATTTTGAAGTAATACCCAGAAGTCATAAAGTGCCAAATTGGGCTGGTATGACTGTAAAAATTGTCACCCACCAAAAAGTACCAGAGGCTAATATGCCCATTGAACATTCTCATTCAGCCCTTTCAACTGAAGAGACACTTAGGAGCCTTGGGATGAAGGGGTATTGTTGGAGTAAGCCCCTCCCACCAGCGTCCTCCCTCATACTTTCCTTACCGGGAAAACAGTCCCTAATACTTTAGACTGCACTTCACAGTTGTCAGGTCCAGTTATAACCTCCAGGTGCCATGACTCATTTACCATTGTGTCCCCAGCATCCAGCGTAGAGCCTGGCCCTGACATGAGTGTTCAAAGATGTATAAGAGACAGCTGCTTAAAGAAGTCATGGTAGAACTACTTTTATTAAGCACCTACCATTGCCAGGCAATTTTGTCATTATCCCCTTAACCCACCCAGACATCTCTAAGCATGTTTTAGATGTGAAAGGTGAAGAAACTCCTCCAAAATCACACAGCTAGTAACTAACAAGACTGAGTGGGACTTGACCCCCATGCCTGCCTTTCATCTCCTCCCCACCACCCCCATCTTTCAAAGCAAGGGCTCTCAAGAGTGTTGCAGTGACAGAGGCCCAGAAATCAAGGTGGGACATGAGCTGTTTGACAGTGACTTCTGTTCTAGGACAGAAGGAATTACAGCAGAAAATGAAGTGACAGTACCATGCACAAGCACACACACAGCCATAAACAGAAACCAACTATCCCCCTAAAGCTGGATGGCTGGCAGTTTGCACGGTTTCCTGCACATATCTGGTTTTCTTT